CTTCAACAGTTTTTAGTTATTTACATATAATAAAAAATATGTTTTTACCAGAGGTCCTACTTCGAATTTCGAAGGCCCATATAACGATTTCGGAGGCTAACTTCTTAAAACGGAGAAATCGTGTTTTTTACCTATGACGTCTTAAAAAAATTAGTTTGGTCCAATACCCAGCCGAGTGCTGTACAGTGTAATGATTCCAGTTTCTTCATTTATTATATTGTAAGTATCAATACCTTATACACGGAAATGTAAAATTGTTTTTATCTAAAACTAATAAAGTTGGAAGGACGAAGTTCTATGACACATTTTTTTTCAAAAATAAATATTGGAGATTTCCAAGGATATTTAAGGATTAAGTCTTTAAAGGACATTTTCAACACTTATTCGTGCTGGCGCACCAAAAAATTAATTTTTTATTGTAAATTCTATAGAATTTTTCCTTTTAATTGATACCCATATTGTTACTCCACAATGCACCAAATCATTTAAAATAATTTTTTTATTCAATCATATCCTAGAATTTTCAAACCCATTGAAAAAAAAATCGTGGGTTCAGAGAGAATAATTAAAAACGCAGTACTATATTTGGCTCCTAGTTTTGTGTATAAATTGATCTTTTCGTGTGTTTTAAAAATTTTTGGTTTTTGTCGCACGGTGTTATGCGACGGTTGAAGGCTTTTTAAGTACGTTGCGGCGAAGACGACGACAAGCGTATGATATCAATTTGCCGACTGTGTTTAGTCATATTTCTCGCGTATTGTCAATATTTTTGTTAATACATACATACATATGCATACATGCATAGCATCCCAGCAAAAACTTTTTATTTTTTGGAATTTGTGGAGTAACGCAATACAAGGGAGTGCCAAGTTTGAAGTTGCTTTTTGGCAATTTTTTTCACGCAGGTTCTTCCATACAAAGTATTTATGTTCGACAATTATTTTTTTTGTATGGAGAAAATGAGCAACACCTTCTACTAAATAAATAGCCAAAAATCAACGCGATTCTCTAGCAACCTCAAACTTGCACTTCCTTATACTAAAATTGAATGGGATATAAAACTGCATTCTTAGAATTTTTCGAAAAAATCTGAATAAAAAGTTGCAATTGGTAAGCAAATTTTTTGAATTTTCCTGAGTTTTGTAAAAAGTTTGGAGATTTGATTTTTTTTTTATAGGTGGGATATGAACCCTATTTTTATAAAAAAATATCGAAAATAGATAAGAATAAAAACTTTGCATATAATGCGAAAAATTCACTGCGCCAATACTTTTGTTCGCCACTGTATGTATGTATGCATGTACATATGTATGTTCTTATGTGCCATAAATATATCTGTGTACATTTGACAAACAACTTAAGTTTATCTTTCACGGCCAAATAAAATAGCATATGTCGCAAATCTCCTTTTACGGTCAGAGATCAATCAATTTTATTTAAATTAAAACATGCAGTTGATGCAAACAGAAACGTTTTAAAAGTTGTAAA